TATTCTTTCCGAACAATACCAAAACATTCATAGTGTGTGCAAACTGCTTTTGAAACGGAAGACCGAGGGTGTCGTATGGTAATTGCCAGAGTCATGGGTGGCAAACGACCTTAACCTCCTTACCTCCTTCTTTCTTTCTGCTTCAGGCAATAATCAACAGCATCCTGTAGAACGTGTAAATGTGTTCCCGTAAATGCCGTCTCTTCGGCAAGCAATGCTGCTGCTACTGCTGTTGCAAATAAAAACAGCTGACAATGCTAAAGCTATGCATCCATCACCGTTTATAATATCGTGTATGATATATTTAAAAAATCATTGATTTTGGATTTTTTGTTCAGCATAAAATTCAAGAACAGTTAGAATAAATATATATAGAATACAATTATGTAATTACATGTATATGTGTATGAAACAAGGTCATGGTAAAAAACTTATGTATTGCCGCATTAATTATTGCTGTTAGTATAATAATGATGGATCTATATCTTATTAGCAAAATTTGTAAGTATTTACTTAGCAAATTTGCAATTGCATATAGGTATCGTTTTTAAAAACTTAAGCACAGTTTTGATGCTTTCAGCAGTTTCAGCTACGCCTGTGCAAACCACACATTCCGTATGTCCTCGCGTTAGTTGACCCCGGATTTGTTTGAGGAAGAGTGTCAAGATTGTCAAGAGGGATTGGCGCTAACGACGCTTCGAATTGCAAAGGTAACGAGCCACTTTTGCATCTCTTCATGCATCGTCGACATAAACGGCTACAGGCACTTTTTTATTTTCCACTATCTTTTCAAGGAAGCTGGAAAAGTGCGTTGTATATGCAAATTGCTTTCAAGCGGCGATGTCAGGTGGTAATTGTACGAGGTTACAGATCGAAGGTCGCGTTAACATCTTTACTGCAATGCCCAGCCGATAATTATCGCGCTTCTAGTGACTCTTCATCTTCTCCCATCCTGTAAGTGGGGCTACTGTTGGCCAAGAAATGACTTACAGCTGACACTTTCACTCACATGCTGCTTCAGACATCGAACTTGGGGTATTCGTCCAGTTGCCTGATGAAAGATGTCATGTTCATTGCCATCAACGTGACTTTGCGTCAATGCCGCTCATCGAGCTATTGTCGCTTCGCGCGATGCTTTTTACATTTTTGATAGGAATATTTTTTTTAACAAATTATTTTTTCGACCATAAATTGCGGTTCATAAATTATCATTTAAAAATTTTGTAATTATATTTTCTCTACTATAAAAATCTCTATTAAAAAAAACTGACGCATTCATATTTCAATAAGAAAGAGATGATGGTATGTTATGATTATTTTCCATAACTTTTTGATAAAATAACTGACTTTTTATTTATATCTTCCTGTTCATATTGAAGAAAATTGCGAAATATTTGTGCATATTTTTATGTTGTCTATTCGAGCATACATAAAAAAAAAGAAACAGTTTTGAAGGACGTTCGGAAGGCATCTAAGGTATCAGATGTATACTGGATGTCCCCAAGGGAACATGGACCCCTTTTCATGTCGGCAAGCTCGAGATCGTGACTCAGCAGCGAAAGCGAATCTCCAGAGACTCATGTTTCTCACCTTGGACAGATCCGCTGCCAACACCTTGAGTTAGAACGAATGCGAAAAATATTCACATTTTCTAAATTTCAAAATTTAAAATGCTATGCGTAAGATGTATCGCGCATGATTTTTCCCGAAAGATCTATCGATCATCATAGAATTATATTGATTCGCAAATATTTTGAACATACTTTGAATTTAGAACGAATCATTGATCGATAATTCCCCAAGGAATGTAACAAAGATTGAATTATGATTTCTTTGAAGAAACTTATTTCTGACTTATTCTACAACTTTGCGAAGTGAAACAACAATTATTGTTCACCAATGCATGTATGTAGTCATATTTCCTATAAACTACTTATTATAATTGTAGAAATAAAACTTCAACATTATATATTTAAAAAATTTTTTTTAATATCAATTTTCCTCAAAATATCTCGTTTGCAGTTTTCTGCCTTTGATAGAGATAATTAATCAGTTGGACCTCACTAAAAATAATCCCGGAAACGCAAATTCGCACAGCTTCAATATCAGAGACGATGCTCCTCTTTCATAAGCGATCAACAAGTTGAATATAACTGAAACGCCGTTAATAAAGCGATGAAAATGATAAATCGCAACGGTTCCACCCCCGTCCGAGCACCGTATTGCGTTATTAAAACTTTACTAATGGACAATAATAAGCACCAGCCTTGGCCAAGATTGATATTAAATCGTAAACTGTTTCGTCCTCATTTATCATTATCATGATGCAAGTCCGTTGAACTCTTTAAATCTTGAATCCGCGAAGAATTCTTGCCAAGCGGGTTTTTATAGATAGGGAGGGAGGGAGAGAGAGAGAGAGAGGAGAGTACATGTTATAATTTAAAATTAATTACTTAAAAAGCGCATTTTTGTCATTGTAATGTTTGTTACGACTCTCAAAATATTTAAATATAACAAATTAATCTACTAAATAACTTCAACAAACAGATTTTCTTCAATTACAAATATATTGTTTAAAAATTCATTAATATTAACGATATTTGATATACATCTCTAAAATGTCAATACAACTTTTCAGAAACATAATTCGTTCTAAATATCAAAACATCAACAACCCTCTGGTAGACAACAAAATTCATGAAGTGATATGACAGACCCACGTGTGTGATCTCACGATAATCGTCACTTGGATGATCACACATTCGTCCGGTAGCCGAAAGGACTCGTCGTTGACGAAGCAGGCCCTCTTCGAGGATAGCCGTGGATGTAAAGGGGGTGTCATGCCGGCAGACTGGGAAAAGTGATTGATCGTGTTTCGCCGGAAGACAAGAGCAGAAGACTCGGAGCAGAACCGGAGGAAAGGAGCGAGATGACGAAAGTAGAGATGGCGTAAGATGGCGGTGGATGAGGAAAGAGAGAAGGACAGCAGTTCCCGAGCGTCGTCGGTGATAAAGACGAGGAGGTTGTGTCGCAAAACGAGAAGACAACCCCCTCTAGCCTTCTCTACGTCATTCAGCGGCCCCTTCAACCCCTCTGGACTCTTCCAGATTCCACTCAAAGCTCCGCTCTCCTGCTTGGAGCGACATGAAGTGGCCATAAGAAAAATAGAAATAAGCCGTGGCGTATCCGGGTAAACGAAGAACTAACTCAAGAGAGAAAGACAGATCTCATAAAAACGCGCGATGCGTTTTCAGCCTTCCTGAAAATGTTCAATCCTAAATTGTTTCTATTTTCTCTATTTGGCGCGTATCTGACATTAATTAAAGGACTTTCGACAATAAGAAACCGCTTTTCGGTCAAAAGTTTGAATTTTAAGTCAAAATTTACTTAATTCATACGAAACTAATATTGGCCTTACGTCGCTTTTGTTCTACAATACCGTTCTACAATATACTGTTATTTCCTGAATCGTTTATACAGCATATAGTCAATGTAGCTTAAATTTACCGTGCTGTATTGTCGTACCAAGGCAAAACACAGTGAGTATGCTCTTTGTGTAATGACTCGGCGTTTTATATTCTCTATGCCACGCAGCTGATCGCGAGTAGACGTACTTGACCGAGTACGCCGAGACACCAATGTATTAATATGAGCAGAGTGTAATCAAATGGCAGATCTATTACTATTAATTTAGCCAATTTAATCTCGTCTTACGTAACATCTTCAGACTTGAGTGTTAATTAATTATAAAATTAAAGATGGCTATTTAACAATAGCATATCCATTTACTCATTATCCCTGTTTCGTAATAATTAGTATAAAATTGATGTATCTATTTTTACTTAATATAGATACAGAAAATATACATTTAACTTGTTTGTATGAATATCAATTAATATTGATAAATATATTTCATTAATATCAACTTCAGATATTAAATTACATCCACTTAATAGGGAAGAGACTTAATAGAGATCAATTAACGTTCAGTTTTCATATAATATTGGCAAATGGAGCTGTAATGGGCGATTATGATAACACCTGCTGGTCACGACAAATAGTTCTGAATTAGTATCACGATTGTCCTCACAACGATATTCGATATCAACAGCATTAACGTTCATTGCCACCGTTTCTCTTAGCATTAACTCTGGCTATAAGATGAATTCAGAAGTGTGGAGGCGGGTTAGGGGAATATGTAGGAGTGACTGCACGGTTATATAGGTACCCTCGAGTATGCCCCATAAGGGCACAAGATCCACTGTTTCCGTGGCAGGGGTTGGTCTCATGCCGCCGCGGAGTGGGGGTGATTCTAGAGAAGACGCATGACGAGAAAGAGGGGACGCGGCTCTCCGCATCGGCTCAAAACCAACCGGCGCGAACGGTGCTGGAGGGAGTTGGAAGCAAACCAGAGTTGCCAGACGAGTTTCTGCTGACGCGCGACGAGCTCACTTTCAGAGCTTTCTGTCGAAACTTCTCGTCTGACTAAATCTTTATATTTACAGTAGAAGTCATTAACGGTTCGAAACGTAGTAGTGACTGAAGTGCAATTCAGAGGTAACATTCGTTTATTAAAAAAAAAAATATGATTCGTATGGTAACGCTTAACTTATCAGAATTGTTTGCAGAAAAGTCAGCTCGATACTCGCATTAAGCTGATAATGTGAATAAGAAGTGAAAGTTTATGAAAAAGTGTAGTGTATTATATTAGGAAGCAAGACACTTGGAGACGTGCGTAGAAATTAATAAACTACAAGTGTGTCTACGGATTCCCCGATGACAATCGTGAAATAGCGAAGCAAAGCAAGAAGTTGCTGCACCTGCCGCAGTGGTTCTCGCGGCGCCACTCACGTGTTGCATGCGTGCCGTGGTTATCCATCATGGTCGCGGACTAGAAGCAGCTCCGATTGGTCGGTTTTGTGGTCACGTGGTATGGTAATTGGGCTCCGGTGGGCGGGAAGGAGCGAACGAGGTCGTGGAGGATCGCGAAAGTGGCGGAAGGAGAGGAGAGAATAAGCAGCTGTCCACCGGGAGTCCTGTGCTCGTTGTGGCCCCGCTCTTTCCATTTCTTTTCTCTTTTCTCCCTCTCTTTCTTTCTCTCTTTTCCTCCTTTCGAGAAAACGTCACCCCTTTTCACAGGAGACGTTGAGGTGTGGACGATGGACCACAGCGCAGTGCCGTGCAGTGTAAGCTTGAGAATGAATATTATATGAACTCGAAATGGTGTGCCGCATCAAAGAATTGATGCAGAGAGCAAGATAAGAGAGAAGAACCAAGAAGTGCGGTTGTTTAAAATTCATTTGGACTATCGTGAGTGTGTGTTTTTCACAAGCAAGTACTCAGGAACATGAATTCCTTCCTTCCATCCGCCGCCGGTGGATACCATCACCATCAGCATCAACAACAAGCTGGAAATCATCATCTAGCCACTACTTCCTCGATGGTCGATCCAAAGTTTCCTCCTAACGAGGAATACAGTCAGAGTAATTATATACCCTCGACCGGAGCAGACTTCTTCTCAGGCGGTAGCGGTGGTCATCATTTAAGCCATCCACAATCTCAACTACAGTACGGCTATCATCAACATCATCATCAAGCGGCGTCGACTCCTTACGGGGCTTCCTCTGCGGTACAATTAAACGGAGGATATGCAGGATACGGCGGATATTATGGACCTCATCATCCTCACCACCAAGTGCATGCGGTTCATCACGCTAGTTTACATTCTCATCATCACGCGGTGGGTGCTTTAGCAATGCCGCCGGAAGCTCAACAACCACCGCTCACATGTCCGTCGTCAATACAAAGTCAACAGCAACAACAGCAGCAACAACCATCTGTACCGACGTCAACTATCCTTGGATCCACGCCTCTGTCACCATCTATAATGCAGAATCATGTGCAGCAGCCGGATGCCCTTCAACATCACCAGCATGAAAATAATGCTTGCAGTCCAGCCGGTTCGGGTCAGTTGCACCGAGACAATTCACCTGATCTTCAAACGCAACAATCGTTGTCTCAGCAATCTCAACATATACAGAGCGGCCAACAACAAACGCCGCCGCAGCAGCAACAACACCATGTAGAAGACAGCTCGGATGCGGATGACATAGAAGATGGTCAGATGGAGGGTTCACCGGGAATGATGGAGGAAGAAGAAGAAGACGAGGAGAGTAGAGATCGTACGATTTATCCGTGGATGAAAAAAATTCATGTTGCAGGCGTCGGTGAGTTTATATGGATTTACAGTTATGTTTGTTATTCCCACTAGTGGAATATATACTGTAATTTTGTTATAGTAATATTGACGTTTATTTTGTTTTCGTCACCTACTTACATCGTAATATTACATTCTTTATCCTTGTCCATTTTATTTTTAAAGATTTTTTTATATCCATTTTCAATTTGGAAATCACTGTTTATATTTATCAGCCTATTTGTTTAATAAGTACAAACGCACATAATTCAATTAGGTACAACTTTATATATTAATCTCAGCTTTGCTCTACAATTAATAAATGTTATCAATATTTCCATTTGGATTATATCGTGGAGGAAGCGTAATTAACCGCTACAGAAATACATCCGACGGCTTGAAGAGATATCTTATATATTCAATAATCTTAAATGTATAAAGTCTATTATATTATAATATTATGGTAAAGTAAATATGTAATAGTAATGTAAATATAATAGGAAAAATTTACATTCCTCCCCAAATGTATGCATTTTTTTATATTAATTTATTTAAAAAGAATAATAATTTATTTCTACAATAGCATTCTTTTTCTCACAAAGGATACGTTGTAGTGTCTCCTTCATGAAATGATATACTAATAAAAAATATATTTAATATTTAAATGTATATTTGTGATACAAGACCGCGTCTTCTGATTAATGTTTTTTTTTTTATTTTGATTCTCTTACAAAAATTATTGTTCGTCCTTAAAGAAACGAAAACCAAAAATTTGAACTAATTAACATATTTACTACTTCTTATTTTATTATTCTTATTTGTCAATATTGTTACAAAATAAAACAGCAATAAGTATTTACGAATTTGAAGGAACGCTGGTACAGAAACGATTTGAAAACTTTTTTTCTGAACACAAAAGACCTGCCGAATGTCTGTTTATATATAGGTATACATTACATTATGTGTTTACAAGGTGACGAGCTTTAGAATGGTCCCGAAGAGTTATGGGATGAAATTTATCTATCCTAGCACCTTGCAATCACCTGTGTGAGGTTGTAACGGCACCTCATTTTATAGGTGAATTCGGATACGCCTAATATATCTTCATCTTTCGCACAGTAGCGAACGTATACTACAATAATGGGACGTCCACAGCACACAATTCAGTGTGTTGCGGACAAAAATAAATTTCAAAATTCGACACAGAGATTCTGCCGTGTTTTAAGTAGACATTCATCATAGTGCAAGGTTGCTAGCGCTCAAGACTTGAACCAGATGCCGGTGATGGTATAGCGCTCCTAGTTGTTGTAATTAAGGCAATTAGCGCGAATGTAGTTCTTCTTTCATAATTAATCAGACAACTACTTCCAGAATTAATATACGCGTGCTTCCTATCTTCATAAAAATAGAAAGATATTTTGAGCGTAACCACAACACACAGGTATATTAATTAATGTTTCACAAATTACAGGGCAATGCTTCTATAAGTATATCTGTAACGCATTCATTTCTTCAAAGTTTGTCGTTTTTTTACATTATGCTAGAAACTATTTCAGCAGGTAGAAAGAAGTCCTCATTAAAGAATTTCCAAAGATAGTTTTTGCAACGTAATATTCCTTCAGAATTAGATTGGCCTTGCCGTCACAAAAATTTCTATTCCGCGGAAAACGCTGTTCATTCCAGCTTGCAAGTATTTCTTTTGAATCCATTGCATATGATACAATAGAAAATAAAATTTTATACCACATACAAGAGAAACTGAATACCATAATTTATGCTTTCAAGTAAAATTGTTTACAACAAAAACTTGTTATTTCTTTCATTAACACTAAAAATTAATATACAAAAAATAACGTTTTTATTCAAATTAATTTTATAATAATAAGGAAAAAAGCGATATTATTTGAATATTGTTTTACTTTTAATATTCTTTAAGGATGTACTAGACGTACAATTCCTGAAAAGAAAATTAAATTTGGAAGTATATTCAATATTTACACTTCAAATAAACTATATACATATGAAAGTTGTTTGAATAAGATTACATTTTTGTTTAATAATACATTTTGTAGTATTTATTTTATTTATAATTATTCTTATTTTGTTAAAAATTAAAATTTTTTAAATGATTAAAAAATTTACATTTTTCTTTTATAGGTACTTTAAATATTCAAAATAATTTATACAAAATTTCGATTCATTGATTAGTTACAAAGATATAGAACAAATAAATATTTTGTTTATTTACCGAACAACTAGTTCATGCATCGCAATGTAATTTTACGTAAATAATCTTGAATACATATTATATACTGTACTTATATTAAAAAATTGAGATTTTTATCATTTATTTTATAATACATTTCCATATATTTTTATTGCAGCACAGATAAAAAAATATTACTATTTATTAAAATAACTTATGATAATAAACCGTCACCAAATTCGTCATATTATTTTTAAATGTGATTTAGAATGATCTGTAATTTTTTCATAATTTTGTTATTGTTTTGAAAATATATAAAACATCCTTAAACAATTAATATTATTCTACAGGAAATTTCACATGTGATAATTTATAATATATGATAAAAATAAAAATATAAAAAAATAAATTATCTCTTGTATATAAAATTTTATTTTAATAAAAATACTATCTCAAGGAATATTTTGAAAATAATTTACCAATAATGTGCATCTGCATACAATAAGTATATAAAGATTACAATAAAAATATTTTATAACATTTATTAACAGATATGTATATAGCAATACAAACAGAAAATATATTTTAATTATTGCATAAAGAATAAAACAGAGAAAACATATTTAGCAAGACTGAAAAATAGTCTTTAATACTATTGAAAAAGTTTGATTTGCAGAGATATATATGATAAAATTATTTTAACAGTTGTAATTGTGAAATTAAAACGTTCCGTTAAACATACGGTATTGTAAGTTACACTTATCGTAATGTTAGGAATCGCGCAATTTAATATTTGAAATCTCTGGACTTTGGTATGCTCGTCCGTCGGGCTGTCAGAGACTGCAATCTCTCCCCTTTGGTTGTCGAAGTATGGTCGCCGGACGTCGGAGTTAAAAGGGGCCTCCACGAGACCGACGGTCAGCTCGGAATGGAATGTCTGCACGGATTCTAAACTGAACTTGTTCCCATGTTTCCTCTATCGAACTGAACAGACCACCACGGATTGCTACTAGCGTGACTCACAAATATTAACATCAACATGCCACAGCAGGATATTTTTATTTTCAATCTACTTATTCAGTCGTTTGTAGTGTTTCAATCATATCTGATTATTTTCTAAAATACTTTGGACATTTCGTGATTATTAATATTCATCTCTCTGTGTGCGCGTTCTTAAATATTTTATAGAGATTTCTGTAGAAATTGCATGATAAATTCCATATTTCAAATAGGTCTTTGAAAAATTTAACGAACTTAACGAATAAGATTATCGAATTATTGAACCTTCAAGCTAGTTTGCAAAGAATAATCAAAGAATATTGTTTCTATATTTCTTTAGATGATGCTTAGCGGGACCAATGCATGTGTACGCTTGGCACTTTTTATCCTCGAGAATTTGCATACGCGTATTCTACCTTCACAACTCAACCGACATATCTTATGGATTGATCAGATTACAAAAGTCACTTCAACCGACTTTGATGCTATTCAAAACGGCCATGACGAATGGTCATATGCTATAAAAATGTTATTTGCGTATAATATCTCTCTAGACATCAACGTAAAGAATATTTTATAATTGAAGTAATAATCTACAAAACACAACGAATTGTTTTCCTTTTTTATTAAAATAACATATGGCTCGAGTCCCTTAAAGGAATCATTTTTCATGTTATTTGCACTACATTTTAACAACTTGAGAAGAAAAATTTTTGTGTATAATGAGCATTCTGAATTAATCCATTCTTCATAAAAGTTATTGCTAGAATTTTACGAATGATATACATATGTCTATATGCCTAATGAAAGTCATAAAAGCTTTAGTGCATATAACAGCAATACAATTAATAATGTTCAGTAAAATTGTTTAACGATTTATTTATACCTTGTCGAACTAATAATAAAAATCTTAGAAATGAAAATATTAAGAAAAATAAGAATAATTGATTTCAGACGTGAATGAAAAGAATAAATTCTATACAAAAAAGGCAACTGAACAATGAAATGTCTTATATGCAGAATATGTACTATTTTTCAAAGCTTTGTATAAATATTATTAATATGTATAATACTGTTTACAGTAATGAATATAATTATATACTCTCTAAATCTGAATCAGTGGACAGTCACTAATTACCCAGTAGCATACTTGGCAATGATAATCAGTGAAGTTCAACTAAAAAAGAAGAATATTTGAGCATTATATGACTAAAATACTGATATTTGCACGTTAATTTCAATCTTCCAATAGCATATTTATTAAATTTAACCATTAAAACAAGATTAGATAGATCACATAGATAATAAAAATTAACTAGATTAGGAATCTCACATTTAATTCACTAATTACCAGTGGCATACTTGGCACTAATATCAGTGATCCACTGATTCAGATTTAGAGAGTAACGTATATAATATGAAATTTAGAGAATTCCATATTATGAAATATTGCTCTCGGTAAAATGAGTTAGTTTCCACATATAATATAGCTTATAATATGGAACAAATCTTTGCTATTTATTATGTCATAGCTTTGATACCATATCTCAAAAATTATCCATTATTGAGCCTTATTGTCCATAATATTTTTTATTCACCATATTATAAACTGCATTATGTACGAAAGCTATGACGTAAGTTACCTATAACCGACGATTTTTGTTTATGTATATTATATTTGTTAAGTAAAATGTATTTTATAATGGTTAAATAACAAAACTTATTGTTATAAAGAAGAAAGCCTAATATACCAATAGCATAAGTACATATGTATCCATGCATGATATATATCAGAATTTATTGTATAATTACGTTTCTTTTTATAGCCAAAACATCAAACAGCTTGAACGGACACTCTAATGTGGATTACCGATGTCCCACGTGAAATTAAACTGATATGTATATAATAGTAATAAGTTAATCGAAAACATTAAAATTGAATAATTAAAGTGTAAAGCTTTATTAGAAATTGAACTAAGAATAATGTTGTATTATATTTATTTGTAATTTTGGAGTTCATGAAAAGTTATTTGTCAATCACTTGTAATGCAAAGATTTAGAATTATTAATCATTAAAATCTGTTTTAACATCTTAAATTATTTAAACAATGAACAAACAAAATTTATTGAATAAATCCGTGGAGCATTCTATTCAATTTATATAAAATATAAAGAGCATCGTGATACATTAATTATATTTCAAGAATAAATTTTTTACGAATTAGGTGTTCATTTTATAGCAAAAATATTAAGATACGTTTTGTATTATAAGCGATTAAAAATAAACAACTTTGCATAAAAAACTTTAAGTATATAAATAAACTGTACTCCTTATTTAATTTTATACAATGTTTACTTTAGAAAAGTTTTAAATCGCTGTATTATTTAATATCTAGTATCAAATATTAGACATAAAATATTTGAAAGGAAACGTTTGGGTCGGTATTCGTAGTTGGTTCTTATATTTAAAATCGCACTATGTTTTAAGAGCTCAAAATTTTGACCAAAAGATCAATTTTTCGGATTTTTTAATAGGATCTTTTATGTATAGAATTTGAAAGATAACATGTCAGTAATCAAAGAACTCATATGGTTTTTTTTATAATTGAGTTCTTACACTCACTATAGGACGCAAAATTCGTCGCTCTGGGAGATTCGCTTGTTTATTTTTTCTCGCCGTATCATTTAATGAAAATTTGGCAATTACAAAATGCGTTAAGAAATTAATATTTATTCACAAAGCTTTTACACATTCTTGTTGCAGGTATTTACTACACTATTGTATAAAAAATTAGTAATTAAAAACTTATACAAGCAGAGAAATTAAATAATACACAACATTGATGCCAATTTACGTTACATAATAACAAAATAATAATTAATACAGTCTGAAAAAAATTTGCTTGAGTTTGCTCACATAAACTCACATGACATTTTGTAAAATGTTTCTTTGTGATCAATTTTATTCAAAATCTAGTTGCCAGAGACTGCCGAATTAATAGTTATTCTTTTTAGGCATGTATCATTTTAAATATGAAAAATTATTCGAAATTTGATTAGAGGAAAGCAATAAAGATTACATTGTAAATCAGTATATGTATTATCAGTACATATGTATAAATATATTAAATTGTTCATTGAAATTTATTATTACAAAATTTAGTTGGTTAATTCATTTTTAATAACACATACGATGTGAAAGTGTCTTAATTTTCACAATATTAAAAAATGTCACAAAAAATATTTTTTATTATTAGAGTATATGATCAATTATAAATTTTGGTGAGAATATTTAAAAATGTTAGATTTTGGCCAAAATCTCGAACGTTAAACCATAGTGAATCGTCCTAAGTACCTATAGTCTTAAAATGTCATAGAGCTGTATTAGTATTTTAAAATGTTACTTAAAACGATCTTAAAATAAGAACAGATAAATATCGATCCTAGTTAAGTTTTTGCAAGAAAGAAGGATATTGAATAAAAGAAGAAATATATTAATACTTTATTCAAAGCATCTATAAGTATGGTTATTTTTCAATTTTAATTTTTTCGGATTAACTACTATTATTAAAGTAAATTTCATATGTTAGAATATAACCTGCATAGTCACTTATATATAATATCTCTTATTAGGTTAAGAAGAAAGTAGTACCTCCGGAATTGAGCCGGATTTGCCGTTATTTATAGCCTTATAGTACTAACATATTTAAATCTCTGTTTCCTTACAGCAAACGGCTCATACCAACCTGGAATGGAGCCAAAACGACAGAGAACTGCCTACACGAGGCATCAGATACTCGAATTGGAAAAGGAATTTCACTACAATAGGTACCTGACGAGACGACGACGGATCGAGATCGCTCATACCTTGGTCCTGTCGGAGCGACAGATCAAAATCTGGTTTCAGAATCGCCGTATGAAATGGAAGAAGGACCATAAGTTACCGAACACGAAGAACGTACGCAGAAAAAATGCGAATGGTCAAGCGTCATCAGCAGCAGCTAAACCGGCAAAAACTTCAGCGACCCGGGCAAAGTCTGGCACTGGTAACAACAATAGTCAAAGGAAAAATAATAATTCACCTTCGAGTGGTATGGAGAACAGTTTGGATTCAAACATCGGTCATGATATGAGCGAAGTTCATGGGGTCAGCTCCAATATTCCTCATCCCGTTGGTGTGGTTCATCCGAGTTTTCAAGGTCATCCTCATTCTCTGGCTCATCTCCAAGCACAGCTGAGTCATCATCACGTGGGTGGAATGATGGACGGTCCGACGGGAGGACCGTTGGGACACATAAGTTCCGGAAGTATCAGTCCTCTCGCTCCGGCTACCAGCCCTCCCGGATTGTCGCAAGTATCAGCTCCTGTGCCGCCATCGACGATAAAATCCGACTATGGACTCACAGCTCTGTAACATCAATTTAGTGAGGTATATTCAACGATATAACTTTCAATACCATTTAACGACTGCTCTCCATGGATAATTCCACTATTTGACTGGATATTTATTGCAAATTAGATAAACGTAGTTTGAGTTTTTCTCATTGCAGTATGGATAAGGAGAGTAGTCTCAAAACGCGTGAGTTAAGACTTCATAGTCTTCAAAAAAAAAAAACAGTATTATTTTTCTTTTACGTACGTGAATATGTCAAGTGTCTGCAATTGCAATCCATTAACTACAATATAAAATGCTAGATCTAAAATTATTTAGCTATTTCTTAAATCTATTGTACGTAAAAATGTTCTCTGATTTATAAAGTTGTGAAAGCCAAGTCTGAAAAATTAATCATAGACAAACATAAAGAATAGAAAGGAACATATAATTCTGTAGTCAATAAAAGTATGTCTCGATGAAAAATAAAGTACCGTCAGGCTATCAGATAATTAATAATAAATCACTTATTATTAATAGCTCATGAATATAATAATGAATCTGTTTATATCAAAATAATACGAAATTTTATTTTTGCTATAAAATATTTTCTACTATATACATGACTAAATTTACATGCTTTTGATTTTATAAGTATTGATTACTGAATTGAATTAATTTAATTAAACATTTCAATAATAATGCTATGACACACCATCCTCTGTTATTATAATAACATTTGTTTAATCAAGTTGTTATCAAATTTGATATATTATTGCAAATTCCAATCAATGATGAAATTTGAGTAAAGATTCCTAATATTACGCGTTTCAGATTGCAAATCGAATAATAATGTATCTACAGTAGATGATATATATACTTTATTGCATAAAATTTAATATGTTAACATATTTGGAATATTGCATTTAGATATTTATGCATTATAATTAATAAAAATTTTTTAACTATCTTTTTATTATTTAAAATTATATAATCTCTTATTACTTATTCCCTAAATTTCTAATTTTCACAAATTTTCACACAGTTATCAAATTGTTAAACACATTCAACGCATGAATATCTATACCATGTCCAAACATGTCCAATTTTATGTGATAACACACATATATGGCTTCTACTGTTCAATATGATAAAAAATTGTGCATGTATTATGCGTAATATATGTAATATAAACATCTGACAGATTAGAACTTTACATCTGGCAAACAAAAATACATATGTGTGCAAATAAAATCAAATGAAAGCAGAATCCCTTAAATTATAATGTAGTTTTTTTATATTGCAATTAACAAATTGTAGTAAAAAAAGTTATAAACACCGTTCTAATACTTTCTTTATGTTTTCAAACAATTGGATATTCCTTATATTCTCCTTATCAAAACTTATAATTTAAAATATTATTAGTCATCTTCCTATTTGCATAATATCAATATCTATAATAAAAAGGAATTTATACCTTGTGAAATATGAATTGTACATACTCAATTTCATGTATATATTAGTGTAAAGAGAGTTTTATTATATACAATAATTGAAATAGTGTTCATATTTCGTACATTGACGTATATTATTGCATTATATGTTGGTACTAATGTTTTACATTATAGATGAAAATTGAATTTTCAAGTAAAAATTTTAATCATGATTGCAGAATATTTATTAGTAATATAACAAAAAGCAACAAATTTTTAGTAATACACAAGTATAATTGTTATGTATGTTATGTCATATTCATTCTAAAAAACTGTCATCTATCTGAAATATTTTAAATGTCAGAAACAAATTAAAAGACCTTTTTAAACACTTAAAAAAATAATACAAGTTAATTAGAACTATCATACTTGAACACATCTTTCTGGAATGGAATATTGTAAATAATTCGAAATGAATAGTATATATTTTTACCGAAAGCGAACGAGGAATGACCAATAATAATTAGGACGCAATTGCACCGTGAATAAATCGGGAGTTGTACTATTAAGCGAGTAGTAATCAAACAATTAATGCACAGAACCGCTGTGACGATATACCAAAACAATATTATTAGGTATAACAGAGTTATACACGTTAAGATACATTAATTCTAAAAAATCGAATTAGTGTAACTAGTGAAAGAATATAAGAAATAAGTGTATGAGTTTCGAGATTGTTCTATAAGTGTGACATTATACCCTCTTTGCTATTACCATTAATTGTATATAGCATGTACGATAAGGACATCATTGGGCACACTTCAATGCTTATGTTTATATTGATCATAAGGATCGATAAACTATACAACTGTCAAGTAAATAAATGAATAAATAAATGTTTCGTAATTTACAATAACGTTATGTTTCCAAATCGTATTCCCACCCTTATTTAACCTTGTCTCTCAACTCTTTTCATGCAATGGTTTTTTTATGTATTCGTATGACAGTTTCCTGCTTTAATATTTTTCATAATTTTTTACACTATTTATTATTCTGTCAGGAAACACCGTTAATCAGTTAAAGTTAGTGCTACTTATTATCTTAAGTTTTGACATTATCTCTTCCTCAAGTGCATTCGCATTCAGTTGTATATACATATATGTATAATATATCGTTTCCATTCTAACTTCGATAAGGCTAAGAACTAAAACTGAGAGCAATATTACGCATGAAACCAGTTTAAAAAATAAATAAATTTGACAATATAGTAATTTGACATTATAAAAAATATTTTTGTCATAAGTATGATGAAGGCTATATAAAATGACATTGTATTTACATTAAAATACATTAAAATACATTAAAATAATCTAGGGATATTAATAATTGTTTGTTCTAAATAATTTAGAACATATTAATAAGTGAACAAAGCTTTATTTCAAATTAATGATTCAATTAACACAAATATCTTGTTTTTTTTTGTTAAATTAATTTTTATAACATTGTTTGTGAACGATTAAAATATTTATTAACTTATATTATTATAATATCTTCACCATATACATATAATTTATTATATTTTCACATACCCTACAATTGTAACAGTGACGGTTCAAAGAAAACTAGTAAAGTAATTTGTGACAATAGGAAGTACTTAGATACACTTTATGACTTTAATAGAAAAATAAGCAGTTCTGAATGCATGCGCTATCATAATTTACAGGTATCATAGGAGATATTATGGTGTATATCATAAGTATATATTTACTATTTTCTTGAATCCCCTCTTGTCCTCATGTAATCGTGTGGGCGCCCATGCGTGCGACGTTGCCGTAGTAGCGCATGCGCATGCACGAGCATGTGCGTGATTGCCGCAGCCCGGGGCAAGGGATACCTCGCGGCAGCTCGAAAAGAAGGGTGGCACCCGGAAAGCGAATGGGGGGCCGCCTGTACAGTCCTGCCTCCGCCCATGCCACGAACATCCCGGCCAACTGCCTAGATATGTTGCTACCAACCAGGTTCCAAAGTCAGACATATTATGGCGCGAATCAAGGTCGCTACTCATGTATAAAACACACACACACACACACTCTCGCACGCACTTTCAAAAATTTTGATATATGTATACATATACATATTTTATCATATCCCTTCTTACATTCAACTCCCTTCATTTATTTAACGATATCAATTTCACTTTCCATAAAATTCTAACGATAATAGGAAACATGTAATTTTGCTTATTGGTCGTAACTGGATAATTTTATTGTTAATTTTATTGTGTTTTGTTAATGAAAATATCTTCCATAAATTTTTTGAGTGTTATTTATGTATGTACATGAGGTAAAAGAAGATAATAATAAAAAATATATCAAAATAATTATAATTTCATAAATTGGTCTTTTATAAGTAACTTTTATAAGTCTTTTATAAGGTCTTTTATAAGTATATTATAAACAGATTATCATCTACATACACATAATACTTTTATTTTTATAATAGTGACTAATGATGATTTAAAGAAATAATTTTTTTTATTGATGTCTTTACTTTAATCGGTAAAATATTGCAAAATTTGCTACAATAATTATCGGCGGCCTTTGAATTTATGAAACCTTCAATTAGCGATGACTACATTGTTAAATCTATAGTGTCAAACCTAATTTAAGTCGCCACTGCTACTCTTACATATAATATACCGTTATTTTATATTAAAATGGTTAAATTTGATTCTATATAGTGTTAATTTGACGCTATATGTAGTGTCAAACTGACACTATAATATAGACACTATAATATAGATAAATTAACAATGTATAAGTAAGTATATGTATAACATGCAGAAGATTATGCCAATAAAAAAGAATAGATGTAGTATTTTTTTATAATTTTATTTATTAATAATTTTAGATTACTTAGTTTATTACAATTTATATACAGACAGTTCTAAATTAATTAATTACATTTCTTATAATTGATTTATAGTTTTATAATTGAGTTTATAAAGTCTATCAAAAAATTAGTGTTATAATTTATGACATTTATTTTTTTATTCAAATTTTAAAATTTTTTAATTGATTTGAATATATGTATTAGGAAATATGTACCACTATATTTATTTTTTTCTGAACATTAATCTGAAAAGTCTAATCTAAAATTTTGTTAAAGATATTATTTAACGTTTAACAAACAGGAGAGATAAAATTTAAAATAATTAATGTGTATGATATTGTTATTATATATTTATCGTAATAAATTGATGTTTGTTGTTGCCTTTGCTGCACAGAGAAAAAAGTTTTTGATATTTGTGACTATAATTGTATAATATGGTTAAAAAATTATGGTTAAGAAGTCCATTTTATGGTTAATACTGTTATAATATTAGTAATAATAACTTTATATGTATAGTTTTCTCAAATATAGAAAAATTATATCTACTATAAATTATGATAATCTGAATTATTAATATAATAAAATGTGTTAAGATATGAATGGTAAATAAAAATAACTATTATGTAATAAATGCAATTATCATTATAGTGAAATAACTATTTACATGCGGTAATATTAACTAAGAGACATGGTAAGGAGAAGCTAATTTGCATGATAAGGAAGAACTTATGTACTTTATACTTACTATACTTTATATTAATGCATGTCATAGTTGTAATGATCATATTTCAATGTTA